GACGGACCGTACCTAATAGTATTAGTTAGTTATAAATTAATTAATTTAGTTCCTTCTTTCGTTACTTTAGTTATACAATACGACCTACTATATATATATATATATATATATACATCCTGAAGCTATATTAGCTTTGCTACTAGCAACAGAGCACTTATCTGATGGCTTGAATGACTTACCCATCACGATGGCTAGATCCTTTTATTCAGTTACGCTATAGCTAGTTTCCATCAATATTAGACGTGTGATGTAGGTTAGGATAACCCAAACATTGAAACATGACGAAAATGGCTTAGGGCTCGAACAACACTTAGTAGTTCTCTTTGAGTTGTACAATAACTTATTTCTCCAGTGATCATTGCCTTGCTATAGTAGGCAATCATTTGTTCTTTTCTTAAATTTTTTTAAAATATTATATCTCTTTCCTTCTCTTAATTTTCTTCATTGTCTTCTTTTAATTTTCTGTCATTTTCTTCTTGTTGTTCTTCTTTCAGTTTTCTGTCTTTTTCTTCTTGTTGTTCTTCTTTCAGTTTTCTGTCTTTTTCTTCATTGTCTTCTTTTAATTTGCTGTCCTTTTCTTCTTGTTGTTCTTCTTTCAATTTTCCGCCTCCTTAGGCTTGATATTCTTTTATTGCTCCGTTTCTTTTCTTGATTCTTCTTCATTCAACTGTTTCATCATCTCCAACAAATTTTCAATCACGTTTCGTGTTTGTGTTGTCATCTGTAAGTGTGAAGTTTAATCAAAGTTATATTTTATCTTTACCAATATAATCCTATTTCTGACAGTACAGTAACGTGTACTATCATTGCGCGGATTCGTTTGAATTATTTGGTAAAAACAATGCCAAGTCCGATCCATGTAAAGATGACGAATTAATTTATTTCTTCAATAACGTTTTGCTACAGGCTACGTTCACTTGTGTACCTAATTTTACAACGTTTCAACAGAAACTTCGAAACTAATGTTCCCTTAAGTTACTTGATGAATTTCCTTGTTAATCTGTCGATAACAAACATGCTGCATAACTCATGGACTAATTGAATTACAATAACTTTCACTGTTTAATTTACTAACTGACACTGAAATAAATAACTCATTAAATGATTAACTGAATAATCCACCGAGTCTGGTATTTTTATTGTTCTCTTATTTTTACACACTACACGAAATATGTAGATTCTCCAGAGGTTTTAACTTTTATGATTCTCTTCGGTTCCATAGTAGCGTGGACTATCGTTAAAGCATTTATTTTTATTTAAATAAATAAACAAACACGCATTGATATTGGCTCCGCTTTATTAACATGTTCTAGCATAACAGACTGAACGCGCGATTTCCACGATAGGTAGGGATACAATTTTATTGAATAGTTTACAGTACTCCCATTATAAACATTGTTTCAACATCAGTAACTCTTCTTAGATAGATAAATCCTTAGTGTAGGACTATTTTCATAGGGGATCCCTTAATTTACGATTATTTATATACACTGATGGTGTAGGGCTTCCTGTAACCTTATTATATATGTATATATTGTTTGTTTTGTTTTGTTTTTGGAATTTCGCGCAAAGCTACACGAGGGCTATCTGCGCTAGCCGTCC